AAAGACCCTTCACCAAGAAAAAGATTACTTTACAAGAGAGACCTTTCATCAGGTGAAAGATTTAAGAAAACAGCTGGATGGAGAATTGGGTAACATTGAAGACCAAAGGAAAGTACAAGAGATGAGAGGAAGTGACACCACCGACGCAATTCCCTGTCATGGTGAAGGATATAAGGCCCTCAGCAGTTTAAGAGAAGAGGTGGAAAACGTAAAGAAAGTCATTAACTACAAATTAAATGAGTTATCTAATCTTCGCCAACAAGAGGCTGAAAGAGGAGAAATTACAAGTGATCATCTTTCTCACAAGAAGATACGAGAAAGAGCGGAAAAAGCAGAAAGCCAACTAAAGAAGCTTCAGTCGTCGTATCATCTTCTTTTAACTGACGCTGAAATGAAAAAGTTTTTGGTGGAAGATGCTCAGACCGAGGCGAAAAATCTTAGAAGGGAGTTGAATGAGAAAAACATTTGCATTAAGGAGCTGAAGGACAAAGTGAAGTCTCCTCCTCCAGAAAAAACAATGATAGTAAAGGATGACAATGAAGTTCAGAAATTAAAATTATCTTTGTCACAGCAAGACAAACTAATCCAAGACATGAACAAGGAATATAAATCCAAACTGATCAAAAAAGAAGCTGAGCTAAGGGAGTTACAACTTTCTCTTCAGATAATGAAGTCTATCTATCAAGGATTGAAGGCAGAGAAAGAAAGAGAGGACGCAGTTAAAAACGCAGAGAAAGCTCGAAAGAGCAAGGAGGACATTAGCGCTGCGATTGAAATGATGAGCGACCTTCAACAACAAATCGATTGCCTTCAGGAGGAAATTACTGGTCATCAGCAGATGGCCCAGACCCTCAAAGAAAATGACAAAACCGCCAAATTGCCGAATGAAAATGACAAGAGCTATCTTAAAAGGCGTAGCAGCCTGCGTGGCGTTTTGTCTCTGCAAATTGACGAGAAAGAGAAGAAGCTTAAACGACTTAGGATGTTACTGAAATCCATCGAAAACCGATACGGAAAGGAAATGTTGGAAATCAAAGAGAATGAGACAAGTTTCAAGGGCGAACTAACCTCAGATTCAGAGGGAGAGTCTCAAGAAATTAATCCTCACACTAGAGAAACCAGCCTTGAACAGTCATTGCCTCTACCTGATTTGGTGGGAACGACACAGAAAGCTTCCCTCACCGTAGACAATGAAATCAGCCCAGGGTCAGCCTCTGTGGAAGACGACGGACAGTCGTGTTTTGAAACAGACGCTGTCCTTCACAGAAACCTGGATGACACACGAAGTATTTCACCTTTTAGCAAGAAAAGATTGTTTGTCTTATTTCTTTTTGTTACCCTCATTGGTGCCGTAGTATTTGCAGCTACTTTAAAAGTATCAAATACCCTGATGGCTGGTGTTTTGACCACTGTTTTGATTCTGCTGTTTATTTCTCGGTTTAAGAGGACAGTGCTTAATATCTCTGACGTAAGTTTAAAGAATCAGCTTTTCGCGATGGATCAACAAAAGAAAGAGCTTCTTGAAAAAATCGAGGAAATGAAACTACGTCAGGAAGGTGACACAGCCTTAATTGCAGACCTTAAGAGACAACTTGAAGAAGAAATTGCTGACAAAGAAGCGAAGCGGGTAGAAAGTGAAGAGATCATGGCGACCAAGGAGGAAATGTCTAATAAGCTGAGGAAATTAGAAGCAGAAGATTTTGAATCCAGAATGAAAATGGAGATCGAGAAAACAAAACTTTCCGAGGCCGAAAAAATGAAGAGGGGATACGAGGAGTACAAAATGTTGAAAGAGGAGATTGATCATATGAAACGACTGCGTGAAAAAGAAATGGATGATAGAAAAGCCAAAATTTCAGAGCTTGAGAAGCTCGAAACTACTTCTGAAGAGGCGAGAGAAGATGGAATTAAAACTTTAAACTTGCCTATCTCTGTTCTTCCTATTTGCATTGCAGTTTCTGTGTTACTTTGTCAGCTGGGCGGTTATCATTTCTTAGCGCCGTATATGATATTCTTCGTTTTGATAACTGTCGCCGCGAATGCGTGGTACTCCAAACGGAGGGTGTCCCAAGTATTAAGCAACGAAAGACAAAACTTTGCCGAGCAAAACGAAGAAATGGATGATATGACCGAGCTCTTAGATAGACAGTTTGAAGTTGTGAAGTCCCAGAAGTCAGCAATTGACATGCTCATGAAAGAGATAGAAAAAGAAAAGCAAGAGAGGAAGGAAAAACGCAGTACTCTGGCGAAGCTTATTTGGCAGCTGCAAGAGATGGAAGGAATGCAAAACATCATTTCAAAACAAGCTCCTAAAGCAAAAGAAGTCACAGAGCTTGAGGCTGCCGTAAGGTCCAAAGCCGAAGAGAAGGCTTTAGCGAGAGCAAAATTCTACAACACTATGATAAAAACGTTGAAAGAGATCAATGCCGACAATGAAGAAGACGACGAAATGACGGATGACTTGTGCAGTGCCGCACAAGAGTTAGCTGATTACGCCGAAGATCAACTAGAAGAGCAAAAGAAAAGAGAGCTTGAAAAAGAAAAGCCACAGCGCCCTAAAAAGAGAGAACGCTTTCAATGGAAGTCAATGACGCTTTTTGCTGTCAACTGTGCAACATTAGCCATTTCCCTCGCTCTTCAATCGTACTTAATTACAGCGCTGGTAGCCATTCAAGCTGCATTCTATGCTCTGCAATGGAAGGAGGGTTCGGTAGATCAGCTCAAGGAGAAGCTAAGGCGAGAAGCTACTCGAAATCGATCTTTACAACTGGAAATAGAAAAGATGAAGACATTGCTAGAGACAGAGAAGACCTATAAGGTGTCTGACGAGTACGCGCTTGAAATCAAAGAGAGAAAGAAAGCCAGGAAATCCACGAAAACCAGTTGATAACACTTTCATTCTCAGGTGTGACGAAAAAGGAATTTTTCCTCACCAATGCAATACTTTTTGACTGAGTTGATAAGAAGAGAGTAAAATATCAACTAGAAATAGAAGTTTTTCTATTATTTTAGAGAAAATTGTCAGAGCTAGACCTATGGGAAATATATGGAAGGCAGTACGGATAATTGGTATTTAGATTCGGAGATGAAAATGGATGACCGAGACATTTAAAGAAAATACTGGTATTTTAGGAAAATAGTAACTAATGGTATGAAATTTGAAACCTGAGATCAAACAAAAAGGAAAGAGAAAACGGGAAAAAGAGAGCAGCACAAAACGAAAAGCACGGAGGTTTCCATGAATACTGAATGAACACCATGAGTGGTACACTGATATGTCCTGTGCTGCTCATTGACTGGCTGAGCGAAAGAAAAGGTTTCGCTGATGTTGCGCGTGTTCATCTTGCTCCATATAAGGGTATTCCTTGATTGAAGAAATGTAGTTGTTTTCTCGGAGTCCAACGTTATTTATAGATATTAATTTTTGTAGGCATGTTACTGTTCACAGTTTCCCTTATTGAACAACTCAAGCGACATTGGAAAATTTGTATTTTAAAAAAGAAATCGCTGAACTGAAAATAGTTCTTTGTGAATTGCCACATGAATTAAATGTTTTCAGCAGTGTCGGTTTTTTTATCATTATTCTTATTAATAGTTCGTTTGATGTACAACTTTTAACAGTATTTCTTAGTTCTTGTAGCCATAGCCCTAAAAAAGAAGTTTTTCCACTCTATTTGTGTTGGTGTGGTCAATTACGAATTCAGGGACGATGTAAGCGGTTCTTTGGCAATAATTTTTCGAATTCAGCATCATTCCCAAGAGCAAGTGTGCAAGATAGCTTCTCTATTTCCTGAGTACAAGAGTATTCAACCAAAAAATTTTGAGCATCGCATCGCAGATTGGATCCCCATTGGGGCAGTCACGGTTTTTTCTTCATCTCGCGATTGAAGCACACAAAATTCACAATAGTTTCTGTGTTTACATAAACCTTCTCATTAAGAGGAATTGCGTGGTCTTGACTTAAACATTGCTTCAAGGAATTACGTATACCTTGAGAGTAATTCTCGACGGGAATAGCGTTGTGCTGATGAAAGTATTCTTGAAGGGAGGTAATCCTCAATCCTAAGCTGAAATTAATAGAGGTGAATAGAAGTATTCTCATCGTTTTGTTTTAAATTATCCTACATTGCGACGGAATCAGCCTGCGTGATTAACAACACGTTAAAGCCTGTATTGAAAATTAAACATTTAGGTTGTTGAGGGTAACACTAATTAAACATCGCTCTCTCAAGAAGATCCCCAGTAGTTTTAAGCTTCCATTTACAATGTCTCCCTTTCAAGACGATGAATGCATCCGTTCAAATTGCCTTTAGAAGCAATTATAGGCCAAGGAAGTACTCATTGACAACCTCGATTAATTAACAGAATTTTTCAAGTTAATGAACCATTGGATTTTCATAATTCCTAACTTGTTCGTTTGATAAATGACAACCGTCTTTTAACAACAGCTTGTACACATTATAATAACAATAAAATACTTGATTCCACCGATTATTTTGGCTTGAATTTAAATACTGGAGAGATCGAGAATGCACGTAAATATTTTAATCTAAAAAGGAACCGGCGAGGTCAAAAGCTTTCGATAGATTTAAGGTCTCAAGTCTGAAAGTTACATTTATTGGCGAGTTTAAAACTTTTAAAAAGTAATATTACCTTGAAAACGACGTGACGTGTTGTAGTTTCAAATAGATATGTATTACCAAATTGGGTTTTGAAATATTAATTTCTTCGCTTCTAAGATAATTTTACCATCCTTGTAAAAAAATAATTAAGGAAAGTCTACATTATAATAACAATAAAGAACCTTTAAAGAGACATTTTATTTGGCCTGTATTGAAAAGCTTGACTGAAAGGAATGATCATCATGAAATCTCTGGTAAAATGTACTCATAACAGATCTCATCACTTAATGCTTCATATCTGACAATACTCCTTTTCATGAGCTTGGAACTTAAAAGAATTAAAATTTGAACTGAAAACGTTCGGAAGAAAGATATGACGCCACAAAAGTTTAGTAAATGTAGTCCTGAGGCCACGCTAAATTTAATTCAAATTCAATGGAGCCTTTCGGTAATTTTCGAAAGTAAAATTAAAGAGATTGTTTACTCTAGTTATGGCAAAGAAATATATATGTTCTAACATCATGAAATCAAGAAAATATTTCCCAGGTTCCATGCACCAGAGAGATGAATAATCATTACTAAATGTAAATGTTTGCCAAAGTTGATGACAGCTGCCACAATGATTTCTAACGAGCAATTCAATTCATAATACGTAGAACTCAGAGGCATACTACTTCTTAAAATTTGACAGGTTCTGCTCGCTCACACTGAGTAGCTTCGTTTTCCTTTTCTTACCGTAATCAGTAATTTCGGGGTGTAGTTGCTTGATTGCGGCGCTTCTAAGAAATACTAAACCTTAATATGGTAGAGGGAAATTCTGTTTACCAGAATATTACCAGAAACGCAAGCGTTTTACCAAGGTCAACAAACCAGAAATGTTTCTTTCTGGACCCGCTGAACGATTATAAACCAGGAGAACTTCTGTATGTGGAATCAGTGGTTACTACAGCGATAAATTTTTTTTGCTCGTTGATAGCTACTTCGGGAAATGCAGTTATCATTCTCACTTTCTTAAAATCAGACAATCTACGCTCGCAATCTCATTTGCTTCTGTGGTGCCTGGCTTTTGCTGACTTTCTCACTGGACTAATTGTTCAGCCGTTTTACGGAGCCTACAAGGTAGCGTATCTCTTCGGACATACCTCTGCCTCGTGCACTTGCAGGGTCATTACAGAGATAGTCGCCTGGTTTTCGGCTGCGGTTTCGTGTGCGTTATTCGCTGCTATTACCGGAGAGCGCTACCTCGCGCTTCACTACCACCTCAGGTACAACGAGCTAGTCACCACGCGAAAGATTCAGATGTATCTTGTCCATCTCGTGATTGGTGTAGGAGTACTAAGCCTATCAAGATTCGCCGTGAAGAATGTAAAAATATTCTTGTACATCAATATCGCTGGTTTGCTGCTTTCAGTTTTTACTTTGTTGATATCTTTCTGGAAAATTTACAAACAGGTTCGCCGACATTTCCTTCAGATACAAGCGCAAAGTTACGTGAGTACAGGACGCCAACCCATCGATGTTCAGAGGTTTAAAAGAACCGTCATCAATATGGCGTATGTTTCCGGTTTGTACATGGTATCATACCTTCCATTTACGTGTGTTCTATTTGCGTATGTGTACGTGGGTTTCACGAGCGAAGTCGAGGCGTTTTATGACATCACTCGTACCTTAGCTTTTCTGCCTTCCTCGTGGAATCCTTTTCTCTATTTCTGGAAAATGCACGAGTTACGAGCTGCGGTGAAAAGTGTGATCGGAAAGGATTCTGCGCCACTTACTGAGGTCATGGAGTTGTGACATAAGTAAACAACGATTTTTACACAAATAAAGCGGTGGAATAGGACCTTATCCTCCGAAGACAGGATATTACCTCTCGCAAGTGTGACATGATTGCTTAAACTTTACTTTACAGGTAGTAAGGTACTCGACCTATCGGTGAAATTAATTTTTTTTTTTCTAAATAATTTGTCCTTATTTCATACTTCTTTCAAATTTACGAACCATAGGTAATAACGCATAATTCATTTCTTTTACAAATATGAAAAACAAATGGGACATAAAGAACGTTACCGCCTCTTGTTTGGTTTACCGCAGTTAAATAAATACAGATTCATGGATTACAAGCAGTCCCTTTTTTTCGGCGAAGTCCGTCGTCCCGACGGCGCGCTTACATCAAAATTAACGTTCGCTGATTTCTTTATTACTGCGGCGGACTTCGCCGAAAAAGGGGAACTGCTCTTTTTCTAATAGATTCGTTGAATTCCATACTTTCTTATCATGCACGGCTCTTTATTTAGTCGAAAGCTTCTTTAACATGTATCTAAAATCGTGACTTTTGAATATGATGGTGCACATTTTGTCGTATTGAATCTTTCGGGTTTCGGCTTTATTGCAGCCAGGCTATAAAAACGCAGGGTCTTAACATTACAGAAGAAATCCGTAAGCGTGCCTCCATTTGATAATGTTGCCTTCAATGACAAAATATTGACCTATTTGAATAAACTTTGACTCGACAGGTTAACCCAATTTTTCGTGAAGCTGCTATATTTCAAGTTCATGTGTCAATGCTGAAGTGGTTCTTCCCGAATTATTCATGATCTTGGACATGCATTTCAGCGATGCATTTGGAAAACATCGAGATTATAAAAAGGAAAAAAAGGATAAAATCTTACCCACACCACCCCAACCCTCTCCTTACCCTACAATTCCTTCCTCCGTTGTCGTCAAAGAAAAAAAAAGTTTTACGGCGTTTTATTTTGCTAGATTTTTTTTTTCTTCGACAACTTTCTTTTGTTGAAGAAACATCACTCTTTTTAAGAGAGAGGCTTCCGATGACGGTTAAACATATCATTTTCAGATACAATGATTTTACTAATTCACGCGCTTATTTAACCCTTGTAAGGTAGCTTTCAAATTTTCCTCGCTGTTGAGTGCATCCGAGGAATAACTGCTAGCTGGTCTTTTTATTTATTTTTTTAACTGTTTTCATTGTCGGAACACTGTTTTATATTTTGGCAGTTATTTATTCAACCCTACGGCCTCTCTATGCTATTTCACCTTTTCCTCACCTGTCAAAGCTTTTAATCCTCTCTATCTTGTTTTCCAAGAAACCTTTGCATGCGCTCAATGCTTTTAATTCTCTTTATCTTGTTTTCCAAGAGACCTTTGCATGCGCTCAGGAAGCGATTCCTTTCAGAGATATTGTACATTTCAAACTTAAGTTCCTCTTTCAACACAAAACACACTTGTGTTCATCTTAATGGATCTATGCTATTTTCACTAACAGCTTTCCGATTATCTATACTCCGGAAAAGCGAAAAACCTTTTATCATATTTTCAACAACTTTTTTTTTTCAAAATTATGAAATGAGAAACGGAAGGTGAAAAATTTTGGTGTCATACTTTGGGTAGATATTTAAAAACCTTAGAGCTGGGGGAATCAGGCAGAAAAAAAAAACATGATATTTTTAACAAACTTGCTTGAGCAATGCCCTTTGAGATATAGAGAAGGCAGGAAAGGATTGCCAAATCCCTTCTAATTCTTTCTTCAACCATTCTAATTCATTCATAAAGAATTTAGAAATTTACGGCTAACAGTTGTTATGGCCCATCAAATGTTTTTGTTCGTGCGCGATTGGTCTAAACGCAGCGTGAATGAATATCCCTCAGCCAGAGCGGAAGAGGTCCTAAGGCCCCCCCCCCTCCCCGAACTATTTATCGCTCCAGGTTTTCCTCGAGCTCACTAATTATTCAATATGAAGGCTTCTGCACTCGATCGGAATATTTATCACACGTTTGGAAGAAAATTTTCCTGGCAGCCAGGCCATTTTTTATTTTCTCGTCACCTTGAAGTCCTACTCAATAATATTTTAAATTTAACCAAAAGCTCATTTTTTAATAAACTTTTGTCAGTCCTACTCGACAGCCTTTTGCCACAAAGCGACAGACTCCTCTGTCATAGGAGATATGATCATCCATCTACTGGAACAAAAAATAACAGGACCCCTAGGAATAGAAATCGATAGCCGGCATAAGCCAACGCCATGACGGCCTAAGACAACAAAGTCACATCAACAGTGGCCGTGTAATTGAAGTAAACCAAGATGCACTCGACTACTGGTTTGAAGCACATATATCGAGGTTTAC